ATATAACTCTAAACTTTACATCTTTCGGAACATAGTAACACCACTATGAAACACTCGCGCTGCTATCGGCTAGCGCTCCAACACATTGTACGTGATAGGCTAAGGGGCGGGACATCTCTAAGCGGTTGACCTATCGCAACAGAGCCGGCCAGCTAACCAATCAGAGCAGACTGGGCTCTGGTTTCAGACAGAGGGTGAAAAGAGGTGCTGCAGCACAGGCAGTATGAGAAGAATTAAGAGCTTTTTGAACATTAGAGCATGGAGACAGTGGAGGAACTAAATACTAATATGAACCTGAACATGAGCAGAATATGTTGTGGGAAACGGTATTTCGATCTCTCTGTCTACCATGGATGTATAATAAGAACTGGATACAGCGTGGGAGGCGGGGCCTCGTTCATTCCTATGAGAGTTGCTCGTTGGCGCATGAAGACAAAATGGCCAACTTTTGAGAGAGTGAAACGTCACGAAAGTAATCATATAATCATATCATCCGTTCTTATTGTGCATCCATGGGTAAAGGTAGAACTCATGTAGTACTGAACACGTCACATGAACGTGCCGGGCGGCGCGGTCCCGTGGGTTAGATCCGAGGAAAATAACTCTGAGAATAACGTTATTAGCACATTTTACAACTTGAGGACCGAATGTTTTTAATAAGAGCTGGGGGGCAGGAGCTCCAACAAGGCGTGTAGAACAGAGAGTGAATACACAGACTATACAGAGATGCTGGATGAGAAACCAATGTGAGTTTGGAAAATGTAACAATGTAAATGTATTCTAGTAGATCTCAACAATGGAACTATGATCAGTAGAAATGGCCATGACATGGGACCTTTAATATTAACCAACAGCTATGAGAGGAGGTGTAACTTAGTAGTGATATGTCAAATCAGTTTTTTCTGACCTATTTTCTTCAGGTTTAAAATAAATGTTTCTCTACTTTTCTTTAAAAAACCCAGACTATTTATAACTATATCCTATAATGTTGGATTTGTGTCCTCCCAGGTGTCAGAGAGCCAGTTCCCCGGACGTGAAGTTCTCGATGGTCCATAAGAAGATCAACCTGGCGGACGACATGCTGGCCTGGGAGCACGAGCGCTTCGGGATCCGCCGCCTGCCGGCCTTCACGCTGTCGCACCTGGCCTCCCACCGCCTGGCGCAGAGAGCCAGCATCATGGACGCCCGGTCAGTGTCCCCCTCCTCTCGCCACGGAGCGGGAGAGCCCCCTGCTGGGTGGGTGCACGTCTCTCTATCCCCCCAGAACAACAGAGTAGAGTTTACCTATTGTAGAGCCGACAAGCCGTGTTTAACTGAGCAACCTTAAACCAGTGTTTCTCAAACTTTTTCATACCACTTAACCAATAAAAAAACACTCGCGGACCACCTAACTCCACAAATATCCAAAGACACATCGTTTTTCTTGTGAGACGAAGGTGTTGCGCTGGGCTATATCATGCAATCGAAAGTGAAACGTAAGCTCGCTCCATTGCGGAGACATTCCCGTGAGAGTGTGGAAAACTTAAATCAATTAATTTATTTCAAATGTGAAATGTTACCAATATACTCACGGACCACTAGGGGGCGCTCACGGACCACACTTTGAGAAGCACTGCCTTAAACCCATTCTTTACAAGCAGTGTGGCTCCTACACCAATATATAATAACTAGTGCTGTCAAAATTATCGCGTTAACGGCGGTAATTAATTTTTTGAATTAATTGCGTTAAAATATTTAACGCATTTAACGCATGTGCAGAATGGCCCGCCCCATACGTGCCACCAGTGGCAGCGCCACGGTATGGCTGGGGTAGGCTACACCCATACCAATAAATGGCTTATCCCCACCATGAAAAATAATGTTAAAGTAAGCAAAATAAAGTCTGCCAACTCGCGCGGAGTAAATTGCACAGACAGCAGTTAGTAAGATTGATTTCAGTAGCCACGGTTTTGAAAACTTTTGTCACGTAGTGATCGTCTTCTCAATAGAACATCTTTGATAACGGCGTGGTGTTGTTGCAGGAAGTCCCGACGGAGAATACTTTTGCTGTAGTACAGGGGTACACATAACTGGTACGCAGTGAAGCTTTTCCAGAAGGCGGTTAGATCACCGGACGACAGAGTCGGTCTCCGTGTGCACAGACAGGGCTGCTGTTAACGTCGGTCTGTACAACGGAATTGTGCCAAAACTACGCCAACCGGCTGCGGAGGGAGACTCCCCCCCCCCCCCCCCCCCCCCCCCCCCCTCTGTCGACTTTCCTGAAGTACTCCCCCGTTGATAGAAATCAACACGTAATGAATTAAGACCCCACGGTTTGATGATTGATAGGTGTGTGGGTTGTCTTTCATTTTGACACGCAGAAAAATGTTATAATAAACATAGATACTGTACACAGTTAAATGGATATATCCGCCTTCTTTCATTTATCTTTCCATTCCCACAACAATATACATAAAGAAATGGCATATTTTGGACATAGTTCGAATGGTGATTAATCTGATTACAATTTTTAATCGTTCGACAGCCCTAATAATAATGCATTGGAGAGAAGTAATAGTTTTTCTGCTCAACGATTTATTTAAGGGTTGAAATAACGTGTTTTCCTGGGCAGGATCCCATGATGTAACGTTTCCAAGTTTGAGCCACGGGTGTTTTTAAATTAAGAGCTTTCTGAACTCTTTTCTCTCCTCTTTGATCTAATACCTCTCCTTTTCCCTACATCTCCCTCTCTGAGTTTCGGTGTTTAATTTCACGCTCTACCGATCAGCTGATTTGACATTTCCTCGTCTTGTGTTCTCCTCCTCTCCTCTGACTCTCTCCTCCTCTCCTCTGACTCTCTCCTCCTCTCCTCTGACTCTCTCCTCCTCTCCTCTGACTCTCTCCTCCTCTCCTCTGACTCTCTCCTCCTCTCTGTGTGTCTCCAGACCTCACGTAGATGTTCAGAAGCTCAGCAGAAACACAAAGCTGGTAGCAGAGGCGCTCGCCAGAGTCATATACAACCTCACTGAAAAGGTAAAGGGAGAAACGGATGGAAACCGTTTATTTACCGTCTGCTTTCTGTTGTGACGTTTTGTTGTTGTTTACTCTGCTGCACAGGGCGCTCCTGGAGACCTGCAGATCTTCACTGAACAGATGGTAAGTGTGTGTGTGTGTGGTGTGTGTGTGTGTGTGTGTGTGTGTGTGTGTGTGTGTGTGTGTGTTGTGTGTGTGTTGTGTGTGTGTTGTGGTGTGTGTGTGTGGTGTGTGTGTGTGTGTGTGTGTGTTTGGTGTGTGTGTGTGTGTGTGTGTGTGTGTGTGTGTGTGTGTGTGTGTGTGTGTGTGTGTGTGTGGTGTGTGTGTGTGTGTGTGTGTGTGTGTGTGTGTGTGTGTGTGTGTGTGTGTGTGTGTGTGTGTTGTGTGTGTGTGTGTGTGTGTGTGTGTGTGTGTGTGTGTGTGTGTGTGTGTGTGTGTGTGTGTGTGTGTGTGTGTGTGTGTGTGTGTGTGTGTGTGTGTGTGTGTGTGTGTGTGTGTTTTCCTGGCCAAGGACAGGTTCCTTGAACACAACACGAGCGTAACGTGTCTTCACCTAGTTATGTCTCGTCTGAAAGGAGTGCTGACGGAGAGCACCGGAACGCCGCTCCAGCCCTTCAAATATTGCAGTACCCATAAGGAGCCGTACACATGCCGCACTGGTGGCTGTGTCTTTAGTTGTGGCGATCTGTTGTTATTAGCATCTGGTTAGCTAGCTATGCTAACGAATTTAAAGAGCTTTTCTACAACCAGGTGGAAGAGAGCTCTCCTGAGAGGCTCAAATAACCTCAGCTCAGTGAGGTTAAAGGCCCTGACACACCAAGCAGTCACCAGAGAACTCGCCGACGCCGACTGTTGCGTCGGCGTGTTCTCCTGCGTCTTGGCCATGTGTCGCACTGGAACACACCGCAAAGACTTCAGCCGAGCACGTACGAACTGCGCATGCGTGAGTGACAATAACTCTCCTTACCAGCAGGCGGCGGTAGTGTGTATTCGTCATTCAAAACGGGCAACAACCGGAAGACAGAAGAACAGACTACGTGATATAAACAAACATATATAGCGTGTGCGGTCCATTTTCACTCTCGTCCATTGAAAACATGTTTCGTGCGGTACTGGAGCTATCAGCCGTTGCTTGTGGAAGACATTCTCAAGCAACCGTTTCGCTTCTCATGCACTGATTCGCTAGCTGAACAGCCAATCAGAGTGATTTCTACACTAACAAAAAAGTTGTTAAAAATAACAAGAATAGAGTTTAAAAGGAGTGATTTGTAAAATATCCAAAAAGAAGAATCTGCTTACAGTTCTGTTTCATATGGATGTTGAGAGATGGATCCATAGATCTCTTCATGTTGCTCTCAAAGTGCACCAGATTGATGCTTTTAACTTCAATATTTAAAAAAAGTCTTCCCGGGGGAGCATGCCCCCGGACCCCCCTAGAGGAGGTTAGGCCCCCCCCCACTTAAATCATGTTCACATGGATACTAAATACATTTGCACACATCTTGTGTCCATATCTTTGTGTGGCGGTGGTCATGCCACACCGTGCACGTGCATGCATGAGTCATGGTGAGATATCTGGATTGGTTGCTTTTTCTTTGCACAGAATGAAAGAAAGGCCAAATGAATGGGCTGTGATTTTAGTATTTTTAAGCAGAGGTTGAGTTCAATCATTTGTACGGCCCTCGGAGGATGTTGTAAAAATTGAACGGAAAAAGGTTCCCCACCCCTGCTGTAAATAATAATACAAACCCTTGATTTATAACTTAAAGATCAAATGCAAAGGTTTTTTTTATAATTGCCAGTAAAATCGAAATCATATAGCTACAACACTCTAAGATATTGCAGTATTAAAATCGGAGATAATATGCGTCTGGCAATGCGCAATATTTATTTTGTTCAACACCAAGTCCGACGATTTATTTTCTCAGCCGCTCCTCCGCAAGATGGCGTCGCGTGACGTCACAGTGGCCAAACAAACAAACAAACCTTGGCTTATCGCTCACAGCTGCTTCCGCCGATAGTACAACTTAGTTTCGTTATCATGTCTGATTCTGAGTAGACTATAGACTAAAAGCTTTAGGAATCCAAACTATAACATATAATAAGTACCCTGTATCAAGATTGATGCAAAACAAGTGAAATTTGACCTTTTTAGAGAGGTTTAGAAAAATAAAGTCCAGGCGGACTCACCTCTGGGTAATTTGGGAACCATCACAACCAAACACAATGCTAACAGTGAGACTCTGAATTAGCCCCGAGCGAAAAATGCTAACCTATTACTGCACCGAAATCACTCCTAGCTCCCTTATTACTTATCCTAGCTCCACATCCAACACATTGTTTATGATCGTAAAGACACAGAGTCTAACGGTGCCCACCTCTATAAGCACCCACTCGGCTGAAAGAAATGAAAGCATGGCGGAGGGCTTTTTTGATGCATAGGCCTAATGAAGTGGTTAGAAGAATGTTGGGTTTTCTAAGTGCTCACAGTCACTTTTAATTGCGCGGGGGCATTTTTAATTGGGCCAGGAGGAATAATAGTGGATTTAATCCCTATCATAATGCATATTGTTCACACTTTTCCATTATGAGTGGAGGAGCGATGAATGAGCTGCAGATAAACTACAATGCTAACTAGGGCTGTGCAATTAATCGTATTTTAATCGCGATTACGATTATGGCTTGCGACGATTAGGAAAACAGCATAATTGACAAAATACGATTATTTTGCTGGGTGCGCTTTCGCCCCTCCCTAAAAGCCCACTCGGCCACGTGGGAGTGACATGTGTTGTGAGTGTTCAGCGCAAGCGAAGATGTCAGAACAAGAGCAGCAACTAGTTAAAAAGAAGGGTCGCGGGGAGATTCCCAGTCGATCGTGAGATGTGTCTAAAAATAGAACAACAATATTATGTTTTATCGTTAATGTCCTGTAACATAATGTTCCCGTGCCAGAATAATGCACTTGAACGCATCAAAGCTTTGTGATTGGCCGGCCTCACCCCATGTGTCCGGGCGTGGCTGGTGAGCAGTGCACTAGTTCGCTGACGTTGTCCGTGTCAACAGCATGGATGGTCAACAGGAGTGACAGTCCGCACACACACAAGACCGCAATTATGGCAGAAGCAAAAAAGCCCAAAATATATAATTTTCACTCCGAGTGGGAGGATCATTATTTTTGTATCTATTCCAATTCAAAGTCCATCTGTCTCATCTGCAATGCGAACGTGGCTTTATCGAAGAAGGGTAATTTAGGAGCGGCATTTCAAAACAGTGCACAAACGCTACGAGACGGAATTCCCTCCTAATTCTGCCCTACGCTCCAAAAGGGGAGGGGCCTGAGAGGACAGCTAAATGCACAGCAGTCCATTTTCACCAGGCCCAACAACAAGAGCAAGGCTGCTACCATAGCAACTTATCGTGTCAGTCACGTTCTTGCGAAACACATGAAGTCTTTCGAAGACGGCGAAGTTATGAAAGAAGCATTCCTGGAGGCTGCGACGCACTTTTGTGGGACAGTAAAAATAACAGAAGCATTTCAACAGGTTTTTGATATAATAAAAACTCAATTTAGATACCGTTATTAATCTGCTGTAAGTTTTAGTTTGTTTGAACTTATTCATGATCATTATTGTACAAAATGGTATAAGAATGCAAACATTAAGATCTGTTCTGTTTAAATTGATTATAGTCTATCAGTTCAGAAACTAGTGTTGCTTGCATCCTATTTTAAAGGCATTTATTTTTATACTCTAATAAAATGCAACAAAAAATGGGTTTGATTCTATTAATGTTGTCTTTTTTATTGCACTGTTGCTGCAGCAGATTACTGTGTAGCTTCAGATCTGAGTTGTCTTATTAGTAAGCCTAATTTATACTTTTGTAGCAACACTATTTTTATATAATGGCAAAGAAAGGGTTCTTCAGAGTCTTTTCTTTTTTTCCTGTGTCATGTGGCAGCACTGCCACAAGTTCCTCTTCAGAGAGGGTCTTCAGTACAGGTGGCAATATTGTCACCTGCCTGCGCTCATCTCTGAAACCAGACCATGTAAACAGCCTGGTATTTCTTGCAAAAAATCTTTAAGAGATGACATGAGCAGCCCTACCAGCATTTGCCATGGTGGCCTAAACATTTTTATTTGGTCTTAAATTGTAGTTCAACATTTATTTCCTGTTACTTCTGGACCATGACGGTTGGCCAGCCTTCAACGTTTAACTGAGTGGAATATGTTGAATATGTTTTACCAAAATGTTGGCTATATGTTAAGGAGTGTTCAGTAGGTTGTGACAGTGCACTGCAACATGTTTGATTTCATTTATTTTGGTCTAATTTATTTTTATTTATCATATTAATATATGTTTAGTATGGTTTTGGAAGTGCGCTCCAACACATTTATTGATCTTGTTTATTGGTAAAATATTATTTGTTTTAAAGTTCAATAAATGGTCAATGAATAATCGTCAAAATAATCGTGATATCAATTATTGACCAAATAATCGTGATTATGATTTTTGCCATAATCGCACAGCCCTAATGCTAACAGTGAATTAGCCCCGAGCGAAAAATGCTAACCTATTACTGCACCGAAATCACTCCTAGCGCCCTTATTACTTATCCTAGCTCCACATCCAACACATTGTTTATGATCGTAAAGACACAGAATCTAACGGTGCCCACCTCTATAAGCAATACAACTGCAATTCCTTTATCTGCGTTATCTGCTGTGCTCCGTGCGCTTTGAAATCTAATCAAAAGTTGTTTACCTCAATTCTTTGGCGTTTCTGCATCGCCCGGCTCTTTCGTTCTTTCAGTGGTTTCTTGTGCTGAAATATGGAGGGGACGGCTCCGGGTTTCAGCCTCCGACGTGCTGTTAATGCTGCTCCACCAACAGACTTCATGATAGCAGGATCAACGTCGTATGCATCACACGCGAAGTGGTCAGAACACAACTTGCTCCATTTTGTCGGTTGCCATCCAACACGATTCACTAACAAAATCCATTTTTTGCAGATGATTTGGTCTTTGGGAAATGCATGTAAAACTCTCCCAGATCCCGCACCGTTCGTACAACAAAAAGCTCAACAATAACCCATGTTAATTCAGTTTTCTTTTCGAAAAACATGTGACCGAGACTGCCGAGTCGGGATGTTTGGTCCAGAGACTGTTTGGCCACTATTACGTCACGCGCGCGGAGGCTGCTGGGAATTACATGTCAGAAATTCAGACGGCTTTTTTTGGGTGTATTATCTCGATTTAAATAAAATAAAAAATACAGGCAGTCTTAAAAACAACATTTCTATAAAAATGTAGCATATTTGGAAGCTTTGCATTTGATCTTTAACATCTCTGTCTCCTATTGATCTGAGTATAGGATAAAGAACAGTTAATTGAAGCATTATAGCACAGGCCTTTGTAGATGGTTTATTACGCTGTTTTTTCTGCTTCGAATAGTTCTCTCTTTTTTCACCATACGTGTGTTTGCATCACTGGTTGTAACACTGTGTGTGTTAGCAGTGTGTTTCCTCCGTTGTAACACTGTGTGTGTGTGTGTGTGTCAGCAGTGTGTTTCCTCCGTTGTAACACTGTGTGTGTGTCAGCAGGTGCAGGACGAGCAGCTCTCGGCGGTCGTTGATTGGCTGACGGCTCAGCCCCGAGCCGCCCAGCTGGTGGACAAAGACAGCAGCGTGGTGTCGACTCTGGAGTATCACATGGGACACTACCTGAAGGACGTGAAGAGGCACTATGTCAGAGCAGACAAGAGGTACACCAGACACACTTCCTGTTCATCAATCAGCCTGTGACCACTTCCTGTTCATCAATCAGCCTCTGACCACTTCCTGTTCCCGCGTCTGGGAGTCGGGGTCTCTGAGTGACCCTTTGCTCTCTGTCGTCCTCAGGGATCCAGAGTTTGTTTTCTACGATCAGCTGAAGCAGACGATGAACGCATACAGGTAACAAGCTCCTCCTCCTCTTCTTCTTCCTCCTCCTCTTCTTCCTCCTCATCCTCTTCTCAGGGTGCGTTTCACTTCTCTTATTTTTCCTTTCCTCGCTCCTCGGTCTCGGTCGCACCGGAAGTTGATTTGTCTGCGCCATCTTGAGTAGCGTCCCAGTGGCCTTATTTGTGCCGGAGGACCGAAGATCGATAGTCGAGGAACCACCAGACCATCCTCCGGTGAAATCCTCAGACACTCGCCCCGCCCCCCTTACTGTGTATCGCTCACTGATTGGACGATGCAGTGCATGCACTGATCTGATGCTTCTTGACATGAGAGCCGTTTCCCAGCGGAGTGAAGAAAACACATGAACCTCACGGGACTCACTCCTCAGTTTATACCGTGTTTTGTTTCAATTCCTGTTTCATTTAGTTACAAATATGTGATCTGAACAACAAAGTGGTCAAAAATCATTTTATTCATTTTTTGGATAAAAAAATGTCATGATCGCTTTTTTTCGTTTTACATTTTAAGAATGGCGTTTATCTTTTTTGAGAATGAGTTCTTATTTCATTTTATTTATTGGGATCTACAACAGATGATAGGAATGTTTGTGTCAGTAAATGTGTGGCGGGGGGGTGTGTGGAAACAACAGGGACAGAGCTGCTGTCAGACGATCAGCTGTGCAGCGTCATCACAAACGATGTCGCTTCACGTGACGCTCCAGAGGAAAGGACGTCCCATTGCTCTTAAAACTCATTTCCCTGCTTCTCGTGGTTTCCCTGCGTCCCTCCATGCTTCCCTGGTGGGAGGGACGCAGGGAAACGACGCAAGTGAGGGAAGCAAGGAATCCATTTAACCGAAGTGAGATGCACCCAAAGTCCTCTTCCTCTCAGTCCTCCTCCTCCTCCTCCTCCTCCTCCTCCTCCTCCTCCTCCTCCTCCTCCTCCTCTCATGTTTTATTTAAGTTCTTCCTCTGAGCTTTACTGCACTTCCTGCTGCTTTACTGCACTTCCTGCTGCTTTACTGCACTTCCTGCTGCTTTACTGCTCCCAGCTGTTAATGAATCCTCAGTGAACAACATTTCACAGACTTTTCCAGCGACACCATGTTCCTTGTTGTCAGTGTTTTGGTTCATTTGATTTAAAGAAGCCTTTTGGAACGAGGTTAAATGTGTTCTCACATGGTCCTGAGAGCCCAGGATGGAATCAAGAGGAATCGCATACATTTCCCACGCACAGTACTGAGGGTTTACTTTCAATTGAATAACCTTACAGCACATGAGTCAAACTCAAGGCCCGGGGGCCAAATCAGGCCCTTGGTGGATTTAATTTCGGCCCGCAGGATCATTTCTAATTACTCTTAGATCTGGACCGCCGGTATATTGCACGCACACCTTCACTCCATCCTGAGGGTCTCCTCAGCTCAGAGCCTGAGCCCAAACATTGATGACCTTGCTCCCAAGATGAGATGCCAAGTATCTGAACTAGCATCACAGAGCAGCACACTGAGTTCAATGGATGTTTCCTTCTGCACTTTCTCTCACGACAACAGGGCATGTTTGGTTTTCTCTTTGAGGGAAATAGTTTTGTTGAAGCTGTTGTTGGCCTGTGGAGAAATGTAATCATAAGAAATGACTCTGGAAAAGCTGCAGATAGAGCCATAAGGAATGAATGCAACTGATTATTTAATGTTTAATGTTGTTTTTATAGGCAATCATTGAAGCTTTGTTAGTTCCAGGTTTAATATGTGCAATAAGTTCATTTCAATAAGTTCTGCAATAAACATTGAACCAGTCCGGCCCTCCACTAGTACTCTTTTTTTTCATGTTGGCCCACTGTGTATTTGAGTTTGACCCCCCTGCTCTAGATGATGTTTTTTAATGTCTATCCTTTAATAATCCCCTCATTCCTCTCCTCCTCTCAGAGTGAAGCCGGCCATCTTCGACCTGCTGCTGGCCGTCTGCATCTCAGGGTACTTAGGGGTGATGTACCTCGCCATCCAGGTACAAGTTACTATTTTCTATAACCTCTGTCAGACACGTTACATATCTGTGTTATTTAGAGATGGCAAAAGTCCACTCATCCTTTACTCAAGTAGAAGTACAAGTACAGATACTCGTGTTTAAAAATACTCTGGTAAAAGTAGAAGTACTGACTAAACTTCTTTACTCAAGTAAAAGTAAAGAGGCTTTGAAAAGTACTTCAGTAAAAAGTACCCATAACTAGCAGCTGCTTTAAAGAGTACCTGACCTCCCTTTATATTAATAGAACAATAATGTCATTGTTAGCTAATGAATGTTTCCATGCTGAACAACGGCAACATGACAACGTTTCCATTGGTCCCTCTTCTTTAGAGAAGACCAGGAAATGATGGATACACGGATCGTGTTCAAATCAATAGGCACGCAATGATTCTAAATAATAATGATCACGCATCAAACACACATTCAGACTAAAGGAACCAGCTGTTTGGAAAATGAGAGAAGTAGAAAGTACAGGTATTTGTGTTCAACATGTAAGAAGTAGAAAGTACAGGTATTTGTGTTCAACATGTAAGAAGTAGAAAGTACAGGTATTTGAGTTCAACATGTCAGAAGTAGAAAGTACAGGTATTTGTGTTCAACATGTAAGAAGTAGAAAGTACAGGTATTTGAGTTCAACATGTAAGAAGTAGAAAGTACAGATATTTGGGTTCAACATGTAAGAAGTAGAAAGTACAGGTATTTGAGTTCAACATGTGAGAAGTAGAAAGTACAGGTATTTGAGTTCAACATGTGAGAAGTAGAAAGTACAGGTATTTGGGTTCAACATGTAAGAAGTAGAAAGTACAGGTATTTGTGTTCAACATGTAAGAAGTATAAAGTACAGGTATTTGAGTTCAACATGTAAGAAGTAGAAAGTACAGGTATTTGAGTTCAACATGTCAGAAGTAGAAAGTACAGGTATTTGTGTTCAACATGTAAGAAGTAGAAAGTACAGGTATTTGAGTTCAACATGTAAGAAGTAGAAAGTACAGGTATTTGTGTTCAACATGTAAGAAGTAGAAAGTACAGGTATTTGAGTTCAACATGTAAGAAGTAGAAAGTACAGATATTTGGGTTCAACATGTAAGAAGTAGAAAGTACAGGTATTTGTGTTCAACATGTAAGAAGTAGAAAGCACAGGTATTTGAGTTCAACATGTAAGAAGTAGAAAGTTCAGGTATTTGAGTTCAACATGTAAGAAGTAGAAAGCACAGGTATTTGTGTTCAACATGTAAGAAGTAGAAAGTACAGGTATTTGTGTTCAACATGTAAGAAGTAGAAAGTTCAGGTATTTGTGTTCAACATGTAAGAAGTAGAAAGTACAGGTATTTGAGTTCAACATGTAAGAAGTAGAAAGTACAGGTATTTGTGTTCAACATGTAAGAAGTAGAAAGTACAGGTATTTGAGTTCAACATGTAAGAAGTAGAAAGTACAGGTATTTGTGTTCAACATGTAAGAAGTAGAAAGTACAGGTATTTGAGTTTAACATGTAAGAAGTAGAAAGTACAGGTATTTGTGTTCAACATGTAAGAAGTAGAAAGTACAGGTATTTGTGTTCAACATGTAAGAAGTAGAAAGTACAGGTATTTGTGTTCAACATGTAAGAAGTAGGAAAGTACAGGTATTTGAGTTCAACATGTAAGAAGTAGAAAGTACAGGTATTTGAGTTCAACATGTAAGAAGTAGAAAGTACAGGTATTTGTGTTCAACATGTAAGAAGTAGAAAGTACAGGTATTTGAGTTCAACATGTAAGAAGTAGAAAGTTCAGGTATTTGAGTTCAACATGTAAGAAGTAGAAAGTACAGGTATTTGAGTTCAACATGTAAGAAGTAGAAAGTACAGGTATTTGAGTTTAACATGTAAGAAGTAGAAAGTACAGGTATTTGTGTTCAACATGTAAGAAGTAGGAAGTACAGGTATTTGGGTTCAACATGTAAGAAGTAGAAAGTACAGGTATTTGAGTTCAACATGTAAGAAGTAGAAAGTACAGGTATTTGAGTTCAACATGTAAGAAGTAGAAAGTTCAGGTATTTGAGTTCAACATGTAAGAAGTAGAAAGTACAGGTATTTGGGTTCAACATGTAAGAAGTAGAAAGTACAGGTATTTGAGTTCAACATGTAAGAAGTAGAAAGTACAGGTATTTGAGTTCAACATGTAAGAAGTAGAAAGTTCAGGTATTTGAGTTCAACATGTAAGAAGTAGAAAGTACAGGTATTTGTGTTCAACATGTAAGAAGTAGAAAGTACAGGTATTTGTGTTCAACATGTAAGAAGTAGAAAGTACAGGTATTTGAGTTCAACATGTAAGAAGTAGAAAGTACAGGTATTTGAGTTCAACATGAAAGAAGTAGAAAGTACAGGTATTTGAGTTCAACATGTAAGAAGTAGAAAGTACAGGTATTTGAGTTCAACATGTAAGAAGTAGAAAGTACAGGTATTTGTGTTCAACATGTAAGAAGTAGAAAGTACAGGTATTTGTGTTCAACATGTAAGAAGTAGAAAGTACAGGTATTTGTGTTCAACATGTAAGAAGTAGAAAGTACAGGTATTTGTGTTCAACATGTGAGAAGTAGAAAGTACAGGTATTTGTGTTCAACATGTGAGAAGTAGAAAGTACAGGTATTTGAGTTCAACATGTAAGAAGTAGAAAGTACAGGTATTTGGGTTCAACATGTAAGAAGTAGAAAGTACAGGTATTTGAGTTCAACATGTAAGAAGTAGAAAGTACAGGTATTTGTGTTCAACATGTAAGAAGTAGAAAGTACAGGTATTTGAGTTCAACATGTAAGAAGTATAAAGTACAGGTATTTGTGTTCAATATGTAAGAAGTATAAAGTACAGGTATTTGAGTTCAACATGTAAGAAGTATAAAGTACAGGTATTTGTGTTCAATATGTAAGAAGTATAAAGTACAGGTATTTGAGTTCAACATGTAAGAAGTATAAAGTACAGGTATTTGTGTTCAATATGTAAGAAGTATAAAGTACAGGTATTTGAGTTCAACATGTAAGAAGTAGAAAGTACAGGTATTTGAGTTCAACATGTAAGAAGTAGAAAGTACAGGTATTTGTGTTCAACATGTAAGAAGTAGAAAGTACAGGTATTTGAGTTCAACATGTAAGAAGTAGAAAGTACAGGTATTTGTGTTCAACATGTAAGAAGTAGAAAGTACAGGTATTTGAGTTTAACATGTAAGAAGTAGAAAGTACAGGTATTTGTGTTCAACATGTAAGAAGTAGGAAGTACAGGTATTTGAGTTCAACATGTAAGAAGTAGAAAGTACAGGTATTTGAGTTCAACATGTAAGAAGTAGAAAGTACAGGTATTTGTGTTCAACATGTAAGAAGTAGAAAGTACAGGTATTTGAGTTCAACATGTAAGAAGTAGAAAGTTCAGGTATTTGAGTTCAACATGTAAGAAGTAGAAAGTACAGGTATTTGAGTTCAACATGTAAGAAGTAGAAAGTACAGGTATTTGAGTTTAACATGTAAGAAGTAGAAAGTACAGGTATTTGTGTTCAACATGTAAGAAGTAGGAAGTACAGGTATTTGGGTTCAACATGTAAGAAGTAGAAAGTACAGGTATTTGAGTTCAACATGTAAGAAGTAGAAAGTACAGGTATTTGAGTTCAACATGTAAGAAGTAGAAAGTTCAGGTATTTGAGTTCAACATGTAAGAAGTAGAAAGTACAGGTATTTGTGTTCAACATGTAAGAAGTAGAAAGTACAGGTATTTGTGTTCAACATGTAAGAAGTAGAAAGTACAGGTATTTGAGTTCAACATGTAAGAAGTAGAAAGTACAGGTATTTGAGTTCAACATGTAAGAAGTAGAAAGTTCAGGTATTGAGTTCAACATGTAAGAAGTAGAAAGTACAGGTATTTGTGTTCAACATGTAAGAAGTAGAAAGTACAGGTATTTGTGTTCAACATGTAAGAAGTAGAAAGTACAGGTATTTGAGTTCAACATGTAAGAAGTAGAAAGTACAGGTATTTGAGTTCAACATGTAAGAAGTAGAAAGTACAGGTATTTGAGTTCAACATGTAAGAAGTAGAAAGTTCAGGTATTTGAGTTCAACATGTAAGAAGTAGAAAGTTCAGGTATTTGAGTTCAACATGTAAGAAGTAGAAAGTACAGGTATTTGAGTTCAACATGTAAGAAGTAGAAAGTACAGGTATTTGAGTTCAACATGTAAGAAGTAGAAAGTACAGGTATTTGTGTTCAACATGTAAGAAGTAGAAAGTACAGGTATTTGAGTTCAACATGTAAGAAGTAGAAAGTACAGGTATTTGTGTTCAACATGTGAGAAGTAGAAAGTACAGGTATTTGAGTTCAACATGTAAGAAGTAGAAAGTACAGGTATTTGGGTTCAACATGAAAGAAGTAGAAAGTACAGGTATTTGAGTTCAACATGAAAGAAGTAGAAAGTACAGGTATTTGGGTTCAACATGTAAGAAGTAGAAAGTACAGGTATTTGAGTTCAACATGTAAGAAGTAGAAAGTACAGGTATTTGGGTTCAACATGAGAGAAGTAGAAAGTACAGGTATTTGAGTTCAACATGTAAGAAGTAGAAAGTACAGGTATTTGAGTTCAACATGTAAGAAGTAGAAAGTACAGGTATTTGAGTTCAACATGTAAGAAGTAGAAAGTACAGGTATTTGGGTTCAACATGTAAGAAGTAGAAAGTACAGGTATTTGAGTTCAACATGTAAGAAGTAGAAAGTACAGGTATTTGGGTTCAACATGAGAGAAGTAGAAAGTACAGGTATTTGAGTTCAACATGTAAGAAGTAGAAAGTACAGGTATTTGAGTTCAACATGTAAGAAGTAGAAAGTACAGGTATTTGAGTTCAACATGAAAGAAGTAGAAAGTACAGGTATTTGAGTTCAACATGTAAGAAGTAGAAAGTACAGGTATTTGAGTTCAACATGTAAGAAGTAGAAAGTACAGGTATTTGTGTTCAACATGTAAGAAGTAGAAAGTACAGGTATTTGTGTTCAACATGTAAGAAGTAGAAAGTACAGGTATTTGTGTTCAACATGTAAGAAGTAGAAAGTACAGGTATTTGAGTTCAACATGTAAGAAGTAGAAAGTACAGGTATTTGAGTTCAACATGTAAGAAGTAGAAAGTACAGGTATTTGGGTTCAACATGTAAGAAGTAGAAAGTACAGGTATTTGTGTTCAACATGTAAGAAGTAGAAAGTACAGGTATTTGTGTTCAACATGTAAGAAGTAGAAAGTACAGGTATTTGAGTTCAACATGTAAGAAGTAGAAAGTACAGGTATTTGGGTTCAACATGTAAGAAGTAGAAAGTACAGGTATTTGAGTTCAACATGTAAGAAGTAGAAAGTACAGGTATTTGTGTTCAACATGTAAGAAGTAGAAAGTACAGGTATTTGGGTTCAACATGTAAGAAGTATAAAGTACAGGTATTTGAGTTCAACATGTAAGAAGTATAAAGTACAGGTATTTGTGTTCAATATGTAAGAAGTATAAAGTACAGGTATTTGAGTTCAACATGTAAGAAGTAGAAAGTACAGGTATTTGTGTTCAACATGTAAGAAGTAGAAAGTACAGGTATTTGGGTTCAACATGTAAGAAGTAGAAAGTACAGGTATTTGTGTTCAACATGTAAGAAGTAGAAAGTACAGGTATTTGAGTTCAACATGTAAGAAGTAGAAAGTACAGGTATTTGAGTTCAACATGTGAGAAGTAGAAAGTACAGGTATTTGAGTTCAACATGTAAGAAGTAGAAAGTACAGGTATTTGTGTTCAACATGTAAGAAGTAGAAAGTACAGGTATTTGGGTTCAACATGTAAGACGTAAAAGTAAAAAGTTGTGGAGTAAAGTACTGATACCAGAACAATGTACTTAAGTACAGTAACAAAGTATTTCTACTCCGCTGCTTCCCACCTCTGCATTTATTATTATACACTTTTCATTTTTAGTTTAGTTTGTTTTTCATCTGGAGTCCCTTTGATCATAAATGAGACTATTTGTAAAAAGCTTAGTAGAAATACTTTTATAATAACAATAAATAAGGGCAATTATGTTGTACTTCCTCATGTGTGAGAAGGTAAGTGACTGCAGTATTTACACTGCAATGAGATGGAGGAATACAGATGCACACAATGTACAACTTTATTTTGTATTACAGCTGATTTTTATTCCGTCCATCGCAAAGTAAATACTGTTATTTTGTATATTTGTGACTCGCTCTATCGAAGTCAGTCGAAGTCTCAGCGGCTCATTTCAAATAAACGTGGATTTGCGTAAAAAAATAGTTTTTCGGGGTTCGTGTGTTTTGTTTGATTTTAAATAAACAAAGCCTTTGCTTTCAGAATATGAAACTTTTATTTCCAAAATCACACGATAAATACATGTTTGAAGTTTGTGAAGGGAAGATGGCAGCTCTCACTCGCCGCCGCCCCCCTCCCTCCGGCTGACATTATGAATGTAAGGCGTATAGTAATCACAGATAACACGGCAGGGTCCGTTACAGTTTGTTTTCATCTGATTTGAAATAAACAAAGTCTTGGCTTTCAGAATATTAAACTTGTTTCTTCAGATGATAAATACAGCTTTGAAGCTTCGGCATAATTACAAGAGGAGAACGGAGTAACTTGACGTCACAGCAGACGTCACAGCAGGCGTAACAACAGCCGGTGTTTCTCCTGAGGGTTTTCCCCTGGAAACACACACACACACACACACACACACACACACACACACGAGCTTTCCCCAGACCAGTAATGCAAACAAAAATATCTTCCCTCCGTACTCCTTTGATAATTTGCTAACCGCTATCAACCAATCAGATCGATGGATTCCAGAGAAGTGATGACTCGGTGATGGTCATTATATAATGTGACATATTTAGCTTAATATTTGGAGTACAACAACAATCCTGATATCATTAGAAAGCTAGGAATCTCCTCTTTCCAACAGTGTACAACTCAAAATGTGTCTTCGGGTCAATGCGACTGATTTCGATGGAGCAGGTCACATATATTTTTTTATTTTAAATATTTTTCTAGTTCTCTACCTGTGTTTTTAATTCTTGTTTTCATGCACCAAGTCAAAGTCCCCGTACGACGTGTAAACCTACCTGGTGATAAACCTGATTGTTTTCTGTAACATCTCTGTCTCTCTCCTCCAGAACTTCGGGCTCCTGTACAGCGTCGCCCGCAGAGTCACGCAGCCCAAAGTGAAATCCCACTAAAGTACAAGTTCCACATCTCTCTCTCCATCTTCTTCAAATCCAAGAACTTGTGTGAAAGCAGGAGCTGGGCCGAACCGACGGCTTTCACAACCCAGCAGAATATTTTTCGTTTCCTTCATCCATAAACTATGATGTCAGATTGAACCGCTGCCAATTCCTCCATTTGGTCTCCGGACCGGAACAATCAGGAATCATTTCTCACACACAGAAATGTTTCCAGTGAGAGATGTAGACGGGATTCAGACTGTTTGAAGTCGCTCTGCAGAAACTGAGTTTAACCCAGAAAATAATTAAGGACAGATTCACATTTGTTTAAATACGATACTCACACTCCCATAAAGACGTTTAAACGGTTATCAGTCGGTGTCATTATTATTTATTTTCATACTGACTGTGTTGAAGTCACGTTGTAGAGAGGAAACAACTTTCCTCCGTGCAGCGGTAGATTATATTTGGGTCATAATTCCTATTTTTTCATAATAAAAAGACTTCAAATTAACTCCTTTTAGTCTCTGGTGAATTTAGAAAAGACTGGATTATGTTTCCCATTTCTTTAGGGCTGCAATTTAACAAATGTAACGAACATTAACGAGCGTTTAGACAGAAAAACTGGATACAAATTCACATTGAATTCCAAGATGTTTTCAAACTACCTTTTTTTTGTCCGACTCGGCAAATGACAAATATAATTTCTAAAATATAAAACATTTAATAAGGCATAGAAAATACTTCAAATGTTAGGCGTTTGTACTGAAGAAAAGTATACAGCGATGATGAAAATATGTGCGGCTTAAAAATGCCATATGGGCTTGTGAGTATTGTGTCGAGGAAAATCTGAATTTGTCCTTTTTTTAAAGTGAAAATTAGACAAAAATCAACGACTTATCAAAATAAAATGTGAAGTAGTGTTTAAATGATCCTGATTAAATCGCCTTGGTAGTGAAATAATGAAAAGCAACATTCGATTGCCAAATAATTACTGTTTGCATTAACCCCCCCCCCCCTTTAATAATATCTAACGTTAGGGACGTGTTTCCACTTGTTGTGCCCCTATGTTCCCGTAACGTTTGTTTCTGTGACTTGATTTTCTTACTGCTCAAGTCTTTTTTTTAATGAATAAAACAAGTCCTGCTGGGAAACGCTGAGTCATGTTAAAGCTGGTGTTAGCATACAATCAGGGCGACGTGTAAAGACGAGATAACGACCCCTTTTTTATCTGAGAGAAACACCTTATGAGTTTGTGACTTTAGCGATAATCTGATCTGAGATTTTTTTAAGCCGTGTTAAGATTTTGTCGCTGCAGTGTTTGTGTTAAAATTGGAAGAGACAGATATTGGTCCTATTATCAAAACGAGCGTGTTGAATGAATACTGCAGTGATGTTTCTCTACCTTGTGGGTGATTTTTTGTTTTTTGTATTTTCCACCGCGTGACCCTTTTTTTACCGACTCGAGGGAAATGCTGCGTGCGTGGTACATATGAATTTTTAATTTATTGAAGCAGTTATTTTTTCATTTGTGCACTGAACCCTTCTCCGCTCACACTTGATCTCTGCAATGAAAAGTTGTGATTAAAATAAAAACAATGTTAAAAAAACACACGAAGCGGCTTTTCTTTCGTTTACTGACATGTTTTATTTGATGGGAGGAAATGAAATGATAACATTGGCTGAATGGTATTAAAATTGCATTACAAAATAGCATGTCTTTATCAATTCAGATTCAAAAAGTGGTCAGATTTCCTTAAGACAAAAGAAAGGGTAATTTGTTTATCATCCAGTGAATAGTGTTCCACTTAAACCCACTTGTATTTAAGTGAATAGTGTTCCACTTAAACCCACTTGTATTTAAGTGAATAGTGTTCCACTTAAACCCACTTGTATTTAAGTGAATAGTGATCCACTTAAACCCACTTGTATTTAAGTGAATAGTGTTCCACTTAAACCCACTTGTATTTAAGTGAATAGTGTTCCACTTAAACCCACTTGTATTTACTGATTCTTCCCACAAAGTCACACAAATGCTTCCCTTTTTCTAACCTTCCTATTGAACAATAAAAATAATACTAATAAATTACAGTGCAATTTATAAGAAATACCTGCAGGGCGTTTTCTGCCCGTCGTTCTCTAAGCGCTTCGTCTCGTCAGCTCCCACAAACGCCCGACAAATTATTTTTAGGTGGACGTTTGGCACAAATAAAACACTCGCAGGGACAATTTGAAAAGGCGAAATTCAGACCGACAACTCAGACGTCATATCTACCAAGAAACATCGAAAACAAGTCAAAATCACTCATTTTGTTGTCACTTCCTGATTAAAATAGGAAACAATTGGTAAAATGTCACTTTTATTTTTCTTATTTGCTTCAATATCGTGTCATCTTTCCGACTAGTGGAATGAAAACAACCAGATTCCAAATTAAGGTGTTTATTTCACTTGAATTTGACTCAAAACTTGTTAATTTTGCACTAAAGTTCTCCATTAAATTAGGAATCCTCCCTTAATGTTCAGAAACGGTTTAAACGTCAAATATCCCACAAGTTGTCGGTCTGAACTGAGCTTCACATGCAATATTAAGAACATTTTAAATAAGAATAATCCAATTAAATACAGAAAGATAAATAAATGATCAGTTTAAAAGAAAGTGTTCCTTTTATTTCTTAACTTAAATCATGATTTGTTCCTAACAAACACTTCCTAACTTCCCCTCTTGTGGTGCGTAGGGGTGGGGGACGTGTATGAAATTCATATTTTAAATCATACTGACATGTAAAGTTAAAGAACATTAAATCATCTAACGCACATCTGGTAGTTGCTCCAGATGTATTTGGGGTAATCTATCAAAGTAAAAATCATTAAGATGCAAAATAAACACATTTTAAACCGTCTGATGGTGCGTTTGTGTCCCCTTAAGACTGTAGGAATGTTTTTATTTTGTAAATACCAGACTTTAGGGATGAGACGCACCTAATCCACATGTTGGGTGTTTGTGGGTTTACTGCAAACTTCACTTCCTGTCACAAAAAAGAACCCCGAATGTGTGGGTCTTCAGTCTCACTTCCTGTCTGACACTACACATGTTGGATAAGAACCGTGTTTTCGACAGTACAGCTGAGCCAGATCACAACTGGAATACTAACCGTGCTCTCAGAGGAAATAAAACAGCAGCAATTCAAATAAAACAACAAATGACTACAGAAATAAAATATAAAATTAGTTGTAACCCCGCCCCACACCATGATGTTTCGGGGGGGGGGTGTAAATGTGGAAGACAGACAGAAAGCATCTGCGGCTCCAGCAGCACAAGCCCGCCGTTCATCCAACAACAAGCTGGAACTTGATCGAGAGGAAGTGTAGAAAATATAACAGGTGCAGCAGCAGCAGCTCACACAGAAGACTGAGACACAATCATCCCTTCATTTGTGTCTGAAATATATATTAAGATGTGTTTTTAAATGCCAAATTGAGGCTCATCGTCAGTAGGGCTGGATAATATAAATCACTATATATCATAAGAGACTAGATATTTAATAGTTTCAATATTATTTCATTATTATTTTTTACAGATGACTTTAAAAAATCTTCCCATATGTGGAATATTTAGGATGAAATTGTCCTTGTCTGATATATGTTTTAAAATATGAATTATGAAATAACATATTGAGGATAATCACACACTGTTTTTAGTAGAGCTTGTGATATCAGAACATATATTACCTTAGATATTAGATATTGTAATTGTATCTCTGGTTTTAAAAGCTGCATATCAGGAGATATTGCATTGTGCTGTTGAGTCATATCTAAGGACAGAGGGTCTAAGGACAGAGGGTCTAAGGACAGAGGGTCTAAGGATAGAGGGTCTAAGGATAGAGGGTCTGAGGACAGAGGGTCTAAGGACAGAAGGTCTAAGGATAGAGGGTCTAAGGATAGAGGGTCTGAGGACAGAGGGTCTGAGGACAGAGGGTCTAAGGACAGAAGGTCTAAGGACAGAGGGTGTCGTTTTTCTCATACTGATATTCTGAACAATCTGTGCTGTTGTATTTGCTGTAAAGTGTCTCTACTGTAGGCTATTTTTATTTTATGTACAGCACTTTGGCTCCACCAAAAATCGTTTATAAATGTGCTATATAAATAAAACTTGATTTGATTTGATGAAACCCTTAGATGCACTTGGAGTGACTGGACCCTACTCTCTTCCATAAGTGGGTCAAAAAGGACCCGTATTAGAATACTATGTGTTTTTATGGCATTTTTGTCATTTTGGTTAAGAAAAATCACTTGTATAATATTTAGTATTATATTTTGGTTCACACTAGAAATGTAATTTGTCACTATTTATAATTTTAGACATTTTTTTTACATTTTGAAAAAAAAACGAAATTCCATAGAAAATGCATGCGGGTCATTTTTGACCCACTCATGCAATTTCTTAACATTAAATTTAAATGTTGAATGGCATGATATCCAAAACATGTTTTTTGAGGAATAGCTGGAATATGAAATGATAAAAATACTTCAAGAAAACCACCTCACCGGGTCAAAAAAGACCCACTTATGCATCTAAGGGTTAAACACATTCAAGTAAACCAGTAGGGGATCTTTCACTGTATAATTGAATAGTTTAAAAACTAAAAGAGTACAGATAAAGGAGTTTTTTTAAACCAAAAAGGTCCAAAGCCTTTTTTTTGTCACGTCAGAAATGTATTTTCTCAGATGAAACCCCTTCGAGAAAAATCACCTCGTTTCCAAACGTGTCCCAAACACACTTTTCTAGTAACGGCCTCTTCCAATCAAGTCCTTAATTCCACATATGGTATAATTTGACGTGTCGTCCAGCCCTATCTCTAGTTCTTCGTGTCGAGTGGTCGCTGCTGCTTCAAAGAAAGATCACTGTTCAGTTTAGACATTAATACAGATATGATTACATAGCGAGAGGATTTTTTTTCTTCATCGTTGGTGAGACAATGTCAGAGTATTTCTCAAAAATCATTCGATGTCATGCATTCTGAATAATGTGTGCATACATAATGTTTATTTATTCTTTTATATCATACTGATCTTTATCTTTACACAAGTCTTTTGGCTATTGTTCCAATTGTTCTGTAAATAGCCATAAACTAAATCCATTTAGTTTCAAACAAATCAAAACGATGCGGATGAATCCCCGTCAATCAATTCTAGCTCTTTGCCGTCATTAAACCAGCAAGTGGCTTGTTTGCCTTCATGTCAGTGCAGACGCTCTGCCACACACACACACACACACACACACACACACACACACACACACACACACACACACACACACACACACACACACACACACACACACACACACACACACACACACACACACACACACACACACACACACACACACACACGTAGGAACAATAAAAATAAAACAATAAAAAGCTTTAAATACTTCCTAACCCGGTTGATCGTCAGCAAAAAGAGATAAGAGGAACTGAGAGGTGAAATGTTGTGAAAGAGTTTATCAGCTACATCCATCCTGAAACACACACACACACACACACACACACACACACACACACACACACACACACACACACACACACACACACACACACACACACACACACACACACACACACACACACACACACACTCTCTACTGTGGCGTTTTAATTCAGAGTAATGGACGCCACCGCTGACTTGTGCGATGATATGTTAAATCAAAACGTGTGGTTTCATCACTGCTGCAGATGTGAAATATGGAGCTGAGAGAAAACGTGATATTTCTCGTTTGAATCTGGATTTGTTTTGCCTTTCCTCTTCACGTCAGAGAAGATGGACGGAGGAGAAGATGGACGGAGGATTCATTATTCCACTGACGGCAAACAGCCCTAAAAGAATCTCGAGTATTTTCCGTTTGTTTTTTTTAAATACACTTTTCCCACTTCTTCTGACGCTCGTTTCAACGTTTCTACTGAATCTATCAAATGTAAAAGTTAGCAACAATAGGACAAAAAGTCAGCTGGAATAACATTCAGTGCTCTAATAAAAACAGACAGCGATGAAATGAAATGTTAAACAAATAAAAAGAGTAGAAACTCCTCGCAGCCTGATCTCACTTCCTGTCTGCAGTGCAGCGAGCCGCCTGTGGGGGCGCTGTTATAGATGCTTCTCTTTGGTGACCCCGTTCTGCACGTGCTTCCTGTGGGACACACACACAACACACACATTACATGACTTTTAATTCAATCTAAGTCTGTCTTAGGGTGGGTTTTACCATCACCTGTAAACCTGAATACAACCTGAGATTGTTTCTTTGTATGTTGTACTTAAATATCTTGTATTTAAATACACTTTTTTGAAAAGGACTTTGAATAGAGAGGCGAAGTCCCGCCCATCTACTTCGACCCATGGGACCTTATTTCTGAAAAAGTATGTATTGAAGTCAATGGAGAGAGAAAGATTATCTTTCCATCCCGTTTGAATTGTGCCACGAATTACACACATGATGTTTGTCCATCGGATCAATTATTAGTGTTGTTTACCCCGTCAGATCAGAGTATTATTATTGTTGTTTACCCCGTCAGATCAGAGTATTATTGTTGTTGTTTACCCCGTCAGATCAGAGTATTATTATTGTTGTTTACCCCGTCAGATCAGAGTATTATTAGTGTTGTTTACCCCGTCAGATCAGAGTATTATTGTTGTTGTTTACCCCGTCAGATCAGAGTATTATTAGTGTTGTTTACCCCGTCAGATCAGAGTATTATTGTTGTTGTTTACCCCGTCAGATCAGAGTATTATTAGTGTTGTTTACCCCGTCAGATCAGAGTATTATTGTTGTTGTTTACCCCGTCAGATCAGAGTATTATTAGTGTTGTTTACCCCGTCAGATCAGAGTATTATTGTTGTTGTTTACCCGGTCAGATCAGAGTATTATTATTGTTGTTTACCCCGTCAGATCAGAGTATTATTATTGTTGTTTACCCCGTCAGATCAGAGTATTATTATTGTTGTTTACCCCGTCAGATCAGAGTATTATTGTTGTTTACCCCGTCAGATCAGAGTATTATTATTGTTGTTTACCCCGTCAGATCAGAGTGTTATTGTTGTTTACCCCGTCAGATCAGAGTATTATTATTGTTGTTTACCCCGTCAGATCAGAGTGTTATTAGTGTTGTTTACCCCGTCAGATCAAAGTATTATTAGTGTTGTTTACCCCGTCAGATCAAAGTATTATTGTTGTTTACCCCGTCAGATCAGAGTGTTATTGTTGTTTACCCCGTCAGATCAGAGTATTATTGTTGTTTACCCCGTCAGATCAGAGTGTTATTAGTGTTGTTTACCCCGTCAGATCAGAGTATTATTGTTGTTTACCCCGTCAGATCAGAGTATTATTATTGTTGTTTACCCCGTCAGATCAGAGTATTATTATTGTTGTTTACCCCGTCAGATCAGAGTATTATTATTGTTGTTTACCCCGTCAGATCAGAGTATTATTATTGTTGTTTACCCCGTCAGATCAGAGTGTTATTGTTGTTTACCCCGTCAGATCAGAGTATTATTATTGTTGTTTACCCCGTCAGATCAGAGTGTTATTAGTGTTGTTTACCCCGTCAGATCAAAGTATTATTAGTGTTGTTTACCCCGTCAGATCAGAGTATTATTGTTGTTTACCCCGTCAGATCAGAGTGTTATTAGTGTTGTTTACCCCGTCAGATCAGAGTATTATTGTTGTTTACCCCGTCAGATCAGAGTATTATTATTGTTGTTTACCCCGTCAGATCAAAGTATTATTAGTGTTGTTTACCCCGTCAGATCAAAGTATTATAAGTGTTGTTTACCCCGTCAGATCAGAGTATTATTGTTGTTTACCCCGTCAGATCAGAATGTTATTAGTGTTGTTTACCCCGTCAGATCAGAGTATTATTGTTGTTTACCCCGTCAGATCAGAGTATTATTATTGTTTACCCCGTCAGATCAGAGTATTATTAGTGTTGTTTACCCCGTCAGATCAGAGTATTATTATTGTTGTTTACCCCGTCAGATCAAAGTATTATTAGTGTTGTTTACCCCGTCAGATCAGAGTATTATTAGTGTTGTTTACCCCGTCAGATCAGAGTATTATTATTGTTGTTTACCCCGTCAGATCAGAGTATTATTATTGTTGTTTACCCCGTCAGATCAGAGTATTATTAGTGTTGTTTACCCCGTCAGATCAGAGTATTATTGTTGTTGTTTACCCCGTCAGATCAGAGTATTATTAGTGTTGTTTACCCCGTCAGATCAGAGTATTATTATTGTTGTTTACCCCATCAGATCAGAGTATTATTATTGTTGTTTACCCCGTCAGATCAGAGTATTATTAGTGTTGTTTACCCCGTCAGATCAGAGTATTATTATTGTTGTTTACCCCATCAGATCAGAGTATTATTATTGTTGTTTACCCCGTCAGATCAGAGTATTATTATTGTTGTTTACCCCATCAGATCAGAGTATTATTAGTGTTGTTTACCCCGTCAGATCAGAGTATTATTATTGTTGTTTACCCTGTCAGATCAGAGTGTTATTAGTGTTGTTTACCCCGTCAGATCAAAGTATTATTAGTGTTGTTTACCCCGTCAGATCAGAGTATTATTGTTGTTTACCCCGTCAGATCAGAGTGTTATTAGTGTTGTTTACCCCGTCAGATCAAAGTATTATTAGTGTTGTTTACCCCGTCAGATCAGAGTATTATTGTTGTTTACCCCGTCAGATCAGAGTATTATTGTTGTTTACCCAGTCAGATCAAAGTATTATTATTGTTGTTTACCCCGTCAGATCAGGGTATTATTATTGTTGTTTACCCCGTCAGATCAGAGTATTATTATTGTTGTTTACCCCGTCAGATCAGAGTATTATTAGTGTTGTTTACCCCGTCAGATCAGAGTATTATTAGTGTTGTTTACCCCGTCAGATCAGAGTATTATTATTGTTGTTTACCCCGTCAGATCAGAGTATTATTAGTGTTGTTTACCCCCATCAGATCAGAGTATTATTGTTGTTTACCCCGTCAGATCAGAGTATTATTAGTGTTGTTTACCCCGTCAGATCAGAGTATTATTATTGTTGTTTACCCCGTCAGATCAGAGTATTATTAGTGTTGTTTACCCCGTCAGATCAGAGTATTATTGTTGTTGTTTACCCCGTCAGATCAGAGTATTATTAGTGTTGTTTACCCCATCAGATCAGAGTATTATTATTGTTGTTTACCCCGTCAGATAAGAGTATTATTATGGTTGTTTACCCCATCAGATCAGAGTATTATTATTGTTGTTTACCCCGTCAGATCAGAGTATTATTATTGTTGTTTACCCCGTCAGATCAGAGTATTATTATTGTTGTTTACCCCGGTGCAGCGTTGTGATGTCCAGCATCATCCTGCTTGTTGTTCTTTTCTCTGAGCGCCGTGCGGCCGCCCTCCTCCTCCTCGTACTCTCTGACGTCGTTCACCTCCTTCACCTTCAGCACCTTCACCACGAACACCACGATGAACTGCACACACACAGAGGTCATACAGAGGTCAAACAGAAGTCACACAGAGGTCACGCAGATGTCACACAGAGGTCAGTGTCAGTTTCAGAAGTTTAGACAACACAAACACCAGAGGCCTGCACTACGAGCAGGATTTTCGCTTATCGGCTAACTTCAGGGAAAACTCTGGGTTTCCGGTCCTACGACGCTGGTTCTCTTTTTAGCGGGCTAGATCTCCATGGTAACTGATGCTGAGCGGCTAACCTGCTCCGGACCAGGTTAGGTTGCAGGCTAAGAGCTCAACTCAGTGAAAGCACCGCCTGCTGACCAATCAGAGCTCAGTGTGCGGAGTTTAAAGCGATCAAGTCATATTACAGGAGAAAGGAAATACAGAAAAGCTGCCGTCGCAGGAAAGACGGCCGGCAAAAATCACCGACTGTGTGAACGTGAACATTAATAGAATATCACCTCCATCTTCAGAGCAATCTGACTATTATAACATTAGCGTTAAGAAAGCTTACTTAAATATCTGCCACAACATAAGTAACCGGATCAGAGTAACATTAAGTACAGTCCGCGGCATATCACATCATAACGTATCATTATTATTTATTTATGTACATATTCCCTATCATGTCTATTTTAAGTCCCATTTATTGTTTTTATTGTTTTTATAGTGTCTTGTTGTTGCGTGTTGGCACCTTGAGTTTATTGTAATGTCGTTGTACCTGTACAATGACAAAATTAAAGATCTATCTATCTTTCTATCATATATTTTCTTATCTGAGTCAGCTGAGCCGTATCTGGCCGTGCAACACTCAGTGTCACATAGGCCTACTGGATGCAGAAGTATTATTTTAAGCAACACATTAAGTTGACGAAACACTCGAGAAAAATGTAATTAAAGTCAGATCGTGTCTTAGACGGGGCAGTGATATCATAAACCTGTTAATGTACGCATTCAAACACTTATTCTGTTACCAGCTGTATTCACCTTGCAGGTGCAGCTCTGTGGCTTTGATCCTGGATCAAGTGTTTAAGTCATGGATGTTTAAAGTTTAACTTCTTCATATGTCTAATATTAAAGTTCACTTTTCATTCAGGAAGTATGACGCTGCGCTGTCAGTACGCTTCTCCATGTTTGTGATTGGTCGAATGCTCCAGATACCACCCCTTTCATGTGAACGCGCACCTAACTAGATAGGACACGGCTGGCTTGAGCGATCCACTTGATAACCCGCGTCGTAGTACAGTTTAGCGAGAGCGCGTATGTTTTGGATTAGGCCAACCGGCTAACTCAAACATATCCAGGTTAGGTTGAACCAGCTTCGTAGTATAGGCCTCTGGCGTCCTTCACAAACACACTGGTGCAGTTTTCATTCATTTCCAACCATTTTTCAATAATCTTTTCTCCCAGTTCAGGAAAATGGTCTTTTAAAAGTTACATATGAGTCTACCCATGGGATACATTAGAAAATAAATAAACACTACACCAACACACACATGCCTTTTTAATAATAGGCGATTGATCAAGCTAATTGATCAAAGTCAACTTTATTGTCAATCCTCCAGTTTGTGTGTGACAGAGATCGAAATACCGTTTCCCACAGTCCCGAATACAAAAACAAATACATATGAAAATATGTATGCAAATGTGTAGATACCTATATATACACAATCAACAGACACATTTATACATATAAATGCTACTAAATATCTAGTTTGGTTGTTGTTTACTTCCTATAGAAAAACCTCGACTATAGAACATTCGATTCATTCATTTCTTTTTGCTTTTCTGACAAATTTCTGTGTGTGCAAATGACCCTTCAGCTTCATGCTTTTTATAGTAAATGAACTAGTGTGTGTGTGTGTGTGTGTGTGTGTGTGTGTGTGTGTGTGTGTGTGTGTGTGTGTGTGTGTGTGTGTGTGTGTGTGTGTGTGTGTGTGTGTGTGTGTGTGTGTGTGTGTGTGTGTGTGTCTCAGAGATGGAGTCCGACTCGAGTGCCGATTTTCGGGACTCGTGACTCGAGTCGGACTCGCTCACTGATTGACGCGACTTGGACTCGGACTCGTGAATTTCGCCCCCCACGATGACTCTGACTCGACTTGTATATTGACGCTCCGACTTGGACTCGGACTCGAGCAAGTTTTCTCTGGAGTCTGATGTCCTCTATCCTGGCTTGTGCACCTGTGAGGCGAGTTCACGTACCGGCCCCCGCTGTTCCAGTCTAAACATGTCTAGGACACACCCCCCATCATGCTGTATGCTTTCACACATTCTGCTTCCACATTGGAAAAGAGCAGCGCAAAATGCTTGTTATGTTATGTGGAAAAAAGATTGAAGAGAAGGCTCCGTAACACTTTACTCTAAGGATCGAGTTCAGACATAGGCTGTGTTGAACACTATCATCAGAGTAACGAGATCTAATCAATAAATAAAGATTCAGCCGATAACACGAAAGCACATGGCTACTTAACATGCAGAATGAGGTCATGTTGCATGCTAAGTAGCCATGTGCTTTCTGGGGCTTAATCTGTATCCCTAAAGTTCCTTCAAAATAAGAGTCCCGATCTTATTACTATCAAAATAAAAGTGCAAAACGAAAACTTTACCATAGGAAAAATATTGGCATACAAATATAATCACTTCTCTAAAAGATAACTCATTTTAAATATAGTTGGACATATTAAAGGTCATTTACAATAATAATAATATTAATATAAGCTTTATATTTGTATAGCACCTATTACAAGAATTGTAGCCAAACTCGCTTCACAGTAGTTCAATAGACAGATTAGTATAACATGACAGGATAAAAGCAATGTAGAGGAGCAGCTACATTTCAACACATATATCCACGAAGATTAATACATGAAGACTTGTGACTCGGACTTGACTTGGACTCGAACACAGGTAATGATGACTCGGACTCGACTCGGACACTCCTTGGGTGACTCGGACTTGGACTCGGACTCGAACACAGGTAATGATGACTCGGACTCGACTCGGACACTCCCTTGGTGACTCGGACTTGGACTCGAACACAGGTAATGATGACTCGGACTCGACTCGGACACTCCTTGGGTGACTCGGACTTGACTTGGACTCGAACACAGGTAATGATGACTCGGACTCGACTCGGACACTCCTTGGGTGACTCGGACTTGGACTCGGACTCGAACACAGGTAATGATGACTCGGACTCGACTCGGACACTCCTTGGGTGACTCGGACTTGACTTGGACTCGAACACAGGTAATGATGACTCGGACTCGACTCGGACACTCCTTGGGTGACTCGGACTTGGACTCGGACTCGAACACAGGTAATGATGACTCGGACTCGACTCGGACACTCCTTGGGTGACTCGGACTTGGACTCGGACTCGAACACAGGTAATGATGACTCGGACTCGACTCGGACACTCCTTGGGTGACTCGGACTTGGACTCGGACTCGAACACAGGTAATGATGACTCGGACTCGACTCGGACACTCCCTTGGTGACTCGGACTTGACTTGGACTCGAAGAGTGGTGACTCGAGAGTGACTTGGACTCGTGAATTGGTGACTTGACTACAACACTGGTGTGTGTGTGTGTGTGTGTGTGTGTGTGTGTGTGTGAGTGTGTGTGTGTGTGTATGTGTGTGTGTTAGTGCTGTAGCGACGCGTCGACGACGTCGACTTCAAAATATCGTCGACGACATATTTCCGCGTCGACGCGTCGCCACCATAGACTGTATATATGGTCGCCACACACACGTGGGTCACCCAAAGCAACAAGCAGTTCGCAATCGCACTTCTAACACAATGGAGACTGAAACCTCACAGGATTGCGCACGAAGCCCTCAAACGAAAACATCTCGCCCTAGGTCTTCAAAAGCATGGGAATATTTTAAAGTTAGTCCAAAACGCAAAGATATTTATATATTTATATCTCACTGAGACTGCTGCTTGACCGGAAGCAGTAGCTAGCTGTGGTGGCTACCATTAGCAGCTAGCATTTGCTCTCCGATTTTTACATAAAAATGGAATTATGGATTATAAATTCAATAATTTGTTTATACATAGACGTTAAAAACCTATGGATTAACCGATTCAGCCGCGTTTTTTCTCATTTTAATGCCATTGAAAACGTCTTTTGATCAGATTGACAGCTACGGCGGTGAGACGATCTCCCTAGAAGCTCTGTGAAGGTACGTGTTGTGATGACTGTATTTGCTTCCCCTGTCGCGAGTCCGGATCACTCAGTGATGATACTATGTACCTACATAATCTGTGGAGTCTCAGCTTTAATCGGATATCTTGTATGTGCAGCTACGATAAGTAATAAGGGTTATCTTGAGTTCTGTGCCAATGTCCGTTAGCATTTTTCGCTCAGGGGTCATTTAGATAGCATTTTAGTTTGCTTCTTATGAGACTTGTGTTTTGTTTTGGTAAACATGGTTTGTATCGTCAGTTAGCTGAGATTATTTCCATTAATCTGGTATAACACATTAATAGGTTCTTAAATATTAAGATCCCCTGAGACACAGTATCGTGGGAAAAAAATTGTTTACATTACTTTTTTTTACATTACGTTTTTTATGAATTGAACAACAGAAAAATAATCGTTAGATTAGTCGACTAATCGATCAAATAATCGCCCGATTAATCGTTTTCAAAATAATCGTTTCCCCCCAGCACTAGTGTGTGAACAACAACCTCTGAACATTACAAATATTCGCCTCAATTCAACCTGGAACCTCTCTCATACAATAATACAATACAGTGTGTGTGTGTGTGTGTGTGTGTGTGTGTGTGTGTGGTGTGTGTGTGTGTGTGTGTGTGTGTGTGTGTGTGTGTGTGTGTGTGTGTGTGTGTGTGTATGTGTGTGTGTGTGTGTGTGTGTGTGTGTGTGTGTGTGTGTGTGTGCTCACCAGGAACCAGTAGATGTTCATGAGCAGCAGCGTGAACAGGAGTGTGTTGAAGAAGAAGTAGAAGGGGATGTTGGGCACGGACTGCAGGCTGGACACGCAGGTGGCGTACAGGACCTTGAGAGGGAACCAGTACAGGCGGAACCAGAACCTGAAACACAGGGAACAGAAACATGCATTCACTTCTGTCCGTCTGCAGTAAGGAGGGGAAAGGAAACAGAGGGAAGCTGTCAAGAATTCAAAAATAAGAGACATTGAGCATTGTAGCACTAATGAATTCAACTATTTTATATAACTTAATCCTTTATTTTTACGCTGCTATGGACAGTCTTGCACTAATGTACATTCTCAAAGACATTGAAGTGACTGTTATTTTGTATATATTGATTGTTGCAATTTTATTTAGGTCTTAATGTGTGCATATGTATAAATGTATCTTGATTGTGTATATATATATATAGCAAAAATATAACATATTTGCATACATATTTTTGTATTTGGGATTGTGGGAAACGGTATTTCGATCTCTCTGTACTCACAAACTGGAAGATTGACAATAAAGTTGACTTTCACTTGTCCTGTGTCAAACATCCTTGTTATTTTGTATCATATTTAGACAACATTAGTTTTTTTTTGCTGACTATAAGTCTAGGCATTTAATCTTAGTCGACCCCAACTATGTACAGCTTTAGTCAATAACGACTGTTGACTTTTTTAGCAACCAATCAATCTAGTCCAAACATGACCAGATTATTTCAGAGTCCTGTTGTTGTCATCGGTAACTTTAACTAAAGTAAATACTGTAAGTGTCCTCCTGAACTGTGCCGTCCTGATACGGATTAAACAAATGGTTTCTTTCTGTCAACAAAAGAGACAGCTTTTTCAAATGTTTAGTTTCTACTTTATTCTTAAATAATATTACATGTTGATATAGAAACTGTGATCGTGTCAATTGCGCTGAAAATGACCAAATATTACATATTTCAAACACTGAAAGAAATCCTAACTGGGAGAAATGTAATGCAACAAAATGCCACCAACTCTGTCTCTAGTCACTTCTTTGATAGAGAAACCCCGACCAGCAGTAAGTAAACCTTATATTGTACGTTAAAGGTCCCCTATCATACTGTTTCTCATCAATATATCACAGGTCTCAGATATATACAGACCCTGTCTCTGATTGGCTGAAACACCAAACAGATCATTGCAGCATTACCCATAATCCCCTCTGTTTCAGCCCTGTTTCCAAAGTGCTGATTCTCTGTCTGTTACTTTAGATGAAAATAAGGAGCCCCTCCCCACGCCCCTCTGAGAGACATTTGGTTACAAAGAACTCAATGGTGCTCTCGGAGGAGATTCAGGTGATAAGGGGGGGGGGGGGGGGGTTACCTTGGTTGCTGATTGGCTAATGGTTACTCAAGCCAAAAAAACGTAATGACATCATAAAGTGGCCAAAATCTGATCAGCTCATTTTCAGACAGGTTTTTATAGAAATGGATCAAAAAGAGAGAGAATCTTTGTTCCTGAAACTTTCAGTGTCTCTTTCCACAGAGGGGACACATGCTGATGTAGAAGAGACATGAAGAAGAGGGGACACATGTTGATGTAGAAGAGACATGAAGAAGAGGGGACACATGTTGATGAAGAAGAGACATGAAGAAGAGGGGACACATGTTGATGTAGAAGAGACATGAAGAAGAGGGGACACATGTTGATGTAAGAAGAGACATGAAGAAGAGGGGACACATGTTGATGAAGAAGAGACATGGAAGAAGAGGGGACACATGTTGATGAAGAAGAGACATGGAGAAGAGGGGACACATGTTATGTAGAAGAGACACGGAAGAAGAGGGGACACAGGTTGATGTAGAAGAGACTGAAGCCCATGGAGAAGGGGGGGGGGGGGACACATGTTTGATGAGAGA